CATACATATGTATATATATATATATCCCTGCGCATCTCGCCGTCCTTTGATGACCATCACAGCCTTTAATGCCCCTCATCGCTTCGAATCTACGAGGCCTGTAATCAGACGCTGCAGGTTTTTCTTTTTCTTGACGGTGGCTTCTGTTGTGAAAAATACTGTGATAGCATGCACAAAGAACAGCCTATCTGGCTTTGGAATGCTTTATTTAAAAGGAACTTTGCAAACCCTTATACACTTTCACTTGCAGTGCATTACTTTCCATATACATATCTGCCATCCTATTAACGAAACTTTGTATTACTTTAACAACTAACAAATCACGTTCGTTTTGACTTTTCAACTAAATGTTAAGAAGTAGTTCACTGTTATCTGATCGTTTTTCCTATCACGTTAGATGCTTGCTGCTCGTTATAAAGTCCAGCCCAAACGTTTCTTAGGCCGATATAGACCTGCAGCACTATAAAAACAACTCCAATCACGATTAGGTGGCATCACTATTTATTTCTTCCGTTTTTTATTTACCGAAAAGTTCCTTCTAAGGATTCTAAAGAACACAATTCATTTACTTCTTTCCGGTAAGTACGCCCTGTCAGTGGCATTTGCAAGTACCTCCCATTTTCAAAAGAAGGTTGTCTGAAGCGATGTGCTTCCTCTAACGAAACTTAGCTTAACATGCTCAACCGACGATGGGGCTATCGTTGAAAACATTAACCTTCCCAATATCGACTGACAAGCTCAGGCCATTTTGGGTTCACCGGTCACATTGGATCAAAGTTTACTCGAGGTAATGATGGAATATTTTCTTCATCAAAAACCGTTGAAATTATCGACACATTGTATTCACATCGAATGAGGATAGTGGGCTAGATTTTCCAGATGATCGGCCTTCATCTTCCCGGCAACAAGTGAGTGTCCAGCCCAGAGTAAGAAAAAGGGGCTTCCTCAGGGTTCTGAAAGGTCACCTTCCATTCCGCATCTGTAAAAATGACTGCAAGGTGAATCTTGACTGCAATGCCTTAATGACGTCAGATGACGAAATCTTTAAAAAATACGCTGTACTGACGGCACGCATAAACGACTAGGAAATGTATACAAATGTAAACGTTTAATGTATCGAGCGTATAATCTTACAAATGGAAGCTGGTCAGGGGCGTCTGCCAAAACACAAAAGGGAATGCACAAATGGAATTACACATAAAGAGGTGGATACGCCCAAATATATGGCTCGCCGGACAACTTTGAAGTTCCTGTCCTCCAAACACCGCAAAAATATCAAAATGCCCCAAAAATCAGTGAGTAACTTCTTCAATCGATAATGAACAAATGTCCACGCATGTGCAAAAAATTGTTTCGTGAAAAGGAAAAGACGTGGCAAACACCTGTTGCACTAATATAAACTATTTCACGAGCTGCACTTTTTTTAAATTCAGAATGATCCCTATTTTCCGAAAAACACTAGTAACTACATTTACTCGTCTGGAGTTTATTCATTGTTTACTTGACCAATTTATTTATGGTCAATTGACTGTCGAGGTCAAATGATATATAATGTAGAGTATCGTTCTTTTTTCAGTTTTTCAGGAGAAAAAAATGAGGATCGTTCGGTAATCGAGGTTCCGAACGGGGAAGGATGTCGAATAAACGCAGGATTCTAAGATTCCCTTGAATATTATGTGTCCGGTATTCAGCACCAGAGAAATGTCTGTCAGCGAACGGTTGCTCGCTATCGTCTGAAGAATAAGCCGGTTATTGACTGCACAGTCAGCATCACTGTCCTCATGATGAAGCCTAGCACAGGGATCGGAGTCCGCAAACGTCATCAGAGCAGGAGATAGACTCCACCTGGTCAGCACCCAAAATCCGAGCAAGATGTCACTCTTTCGTGTGATGTACGGTCGTTTTTTGGGCACAAGGATGCAAAACCAAAATAAGTTGTTGATTACAACCTGAATAGGTCTCCGAGCTTTCAAGCACGTGTCAGCTTTATGCCGATGTGTACAAGGCCATCGCGAATGTACGCGCCAATACTGGCGGACGTTTCTTTAATCCCTGGGCAATTCGATCTTCAACATCAGTTTCAGGCGAAATC